CCCCCAACCCCCCACCCCCCCCAAAAAAAAAACATGTCTACCGTCCCATTCAACGAAATATAATTATATACTTTTTCCAGTGTCCGCCCCCTCCCAGAAAATTCTATCCCCGCCCCCAAAAATTTCAAGTACCCCCACCCCTCTCCGGGGAGGAAAAAGTCTGAAAGAAACACTGAAACCAACCCACCCCCACCCCCCACCCCCCCACCCCACCCCCCACACACCACCCCCACCCCCACCCCTCCACCACCCCCCCACCCCCAAAAAAAACATGTCTACCGTCCCATTCAACGAAATATAATTATATACTTTTTCCAGTGTCCGCCCCCTCCCAGAAAATTCTACCCCCCGCCCCCGAAAATTTCAAGTACCCCCACCCCTCTCCGGGGAGGAAAAAGTCTGAAAGAAACACTGAAACCAACCCACCCCCCCACACCCCCCCCCCACCCACACACACCACCCCCCCACACACCCCCCCCCCAACCCCCTCCACCCCCCCCCCCCCCCCAAAAAAAAAAATCATGTCTACCGTCCCATTGCAAGAAAACCACTTTTTAGATTAGACACATTAATTAGGCGGTAATTTTATTATAGAGTATCGATGAGGAAATTTCTTTTGAGTTGGGGAGGGGGAGGGGCTCAGACGTTCTTACGCGGGGGGTGGGGCTTCGCCCCTACCCGAAGAATTGTATGCAAGAAACTCTTCACGCAAACCACTTAGATTAGACAACATTTCCTCTTTATTCAATATTTACGCCAGAATCAATGACGTCATTATATTACTGTGAGATTATTTTCTACTCTGTGCGCTAAATGTGTCGACGTCATACTTCGTTTTTCGAATTACTATGCATGTTTTTAAATTGCTTGTCTTTTCTCTAGAGCGTTCTTGTCAGACAGAGCGTTCTTGACAGACAGCGAAACTATTATTATAGACGAGAAAAATGGCCCGTTGAGGAAGGATACACCGGGCGCTAGGTTGATAGTGCTGTCTCTTTTCTCTAAACTAAAACCAACCCACCCCCCCACACACCACCCCCACTACACCCCCACACCCCACCCCCACCCCCACCCCCCACCACACACCACCCCCCACCCCCACCCCTCACCCCCACACACCACCCCCCTCCACACACCGGCCCCCACCCCCCACCCCCCCCCCCCCCAAAAAAAACATGTCTACCGTCCCATTCAACGAAATATAATTATATACTTTTTCCAGTGTCCGCCCCCTCCCAGAAAATTCTACCCCCGCCCCCGAAAATTTCAAGTACCCCCACCCATCTCCGGGGAGGAAAAAGTCTGAAAGAAACACTGAAACCAACCCACCCCCCCCACACACCACCCCCCACCCCCCCCCCACACCCCCCCCACCCCAACCCCCCCACCCCACACCACCACCCCCCACCCACCCCTCCACCACCCCCACCCCCCAAAAAAACATGTCTACCGTCCCATTCAACGAAATATAATTATATACTTTTTCCAGTGTCCGCCCCCTCCCAGAAAATTCTACCCCCGCCCCCGAAAATTTCAAGTACCCCCACCCCTCTCCGGGGAGGAAAAAGTCCCCCCCCCCACCCCCACACACCACCCCTCCACCCCCCCCCCCCCCCCCAAAAAAAAAAACATGTCTACCGTCCCATTGCAAGAAAACCACTTTTTAGATTAGACACATTAATTAAGCGGTAATTTTATTATAGAGTATCGATGAGGAAATTTCTTTTGAGTTGGGGAGGGGGGGGGGGGGGCTCAGACGTTCTTACGCGGGGGGTGGGGCTTCGCCCCTACCCGAAGAATTGTATGCAAGAAACTCTTCACGCAAACCATTTAGATTAGACAACATTTCCTTTTTTTCAATGTTTACGCGATAATCAATGACGTCATTACATTACTGTGTGCACTCTCTGGTTTGAGATTATGTTCTACTCTACGCTAAATGTGTCGACGTCATATTTCGTTTTTCGAATTACTGTGCATGTTTTTAAATTGCTTGTGTTTTCTCTAGAGCGTTCTTGTCAGACAGAGCGTTCTTGTCAGATAGACAGACAGCGAAACTATTAGTATTAACTAGATAAATGGCCCGTTGAGGAAGGGTACAACGGGCGCTAGGCTGATAGTGCTGTCTCTTTTCTCTAAACTAAAACCAACCCACCCCCCCACACACCACCCCCACCCCACCCCCACACACCACCCCCACCCCCCACCACACACCACCCCCACCCCAACCCCTCACCCCCACACACCACCCCCTCCACACACCGCCCCCCCACCCCCCACCCCCCCCCCCAAAAAAAAACATGTCTACCGTCCCATTCAACGAAATATAATTATATACTTTTTCCAGTGTCCGCCCCCTCCCAGAATATTCTACCCCCGCCCCCGAAAATTTCAAGTACCCCCCACCCCTCTCCGGGGAGGAAAAAGTCTGAAAGAAACACTGAAACCAACCCACCCCCCCCACACACCACCCCCCACCCCTACACACCACCCCCCCCCCCACCCCTCCCCCCCCCAACCCCCCCAAAAAAAAAAACATGTCTACCTTCCCATTGCAAGAAAACCACTTTTTAGATTAGACACATTAATTAGGCTGTAATTTTATTATAGAGTATCGATGAGGAAATTTCTTTTGAGTTGGGGAGGGGGGGGGGGGGGCTCAGACGTTCTTACGCGGGGGGTGGGGCTTCGCCCCTACCCGAAGAATTGTATGCAAGAAACTCTTCACGCAAACCATTTAGATTAGACAACATTTCCTTTTTTTCAATGTTTACGCGATAATCAATGACGTCATATTACTGTGTGCACTCTCTGGTTTGAGATTATGTTCTACTCTACGCTGAATGTGTCGACGTCATATTTCGTTTTTCGAATTACTGTGCATGTTTTTATTTTGCTTGTGTTTTCTCTAGAGCGTTCTTGTCAGACAGAGCGTTCTTGACAGACAGCGAAACTATTATTATAGATTAGATTTCTAGTAGTTGTGTGTCAATGTTATTTGCTACTCGTTTTTCTTTTATATTCATTCAACTTTTAAGACGTCATTCGAAAAGTGGTTTTTTTTTTCATCTACGCGCGATTCCTCTGGACATAGATCTTGTGCTGAACACACCAACCTTTCGTATGCCGAGGTCAAGAAATATGAACTCTACTTCATCTGCTCTTTGGGTAGTTTGGTCTGAAATAGGAATTTTACTTTTACACAATTCGACACAATTAGATAAACAAGCGACTCGAGCGACTTACTGAATCTCTAACTTTAACGCATCATATAGGCATAACAGTCATCGCAATCACGTGTACACACACAGACGCACACACACACAAGGCTAGATGGTGTGGGTAGTGTGTGCTTTAAATTTGTAAGGCTCTAAGGTGTAAATGGTTTCAGAAAACAACGTACACTCGAGAATGACAGAAACAAACAATGATTGCTTTGAATTAGCATAAAAGTCACGACAGAGAAAATCTGTGATTGGCGGCAAATCCTGGCCAGCATCTATTTATAGATCTAAAGTGCTTGTGCTCACCAAACTGACAATGCAATCTATAAAGTACCACACAATATTATTGAATCAACGAATACAATAAAACTAAATAATATTTTTCCGTACGGTACAATGGCCAAACTTCACTCGTCGTTTGTCATTTTATAATCAGATTCAGGAACAAATGGTGGGCGGGACTCTCCGTCGTCTCCGATATGAGCTATTCTACATCTTTTTAAAGCATAAAAACATCTTGTCTTATACAAAGTTGCTAAAATTATAAACAAAATCACAAACCCCGCCCTCTGGACTAATAACCCAGAACTTGCGCATTAAAATATAGACCCTACAAAGATATTAATTTGAAAAAAAAAAGTTCAAGCTAGTCTATCTATTTTTAAAGTGTCCAAATTGCACACCAATATACCAGTACAAATATATACATTTCTGCACCGTCTTATACTGTTTAGGCTGGCGCACAAGTTTACTAGCGATAAACCTACGATGCACACCACAATTTAAAATATTATTAGGTCGTTTTATAATGTAATTCAAAACACAAGAGGCTTATGTTAGATTTATCCATATTTTATAACACTCCTGTCAGGCTTTACTTTAGTAACAGGGAGTAGACCAATGAATCCAGAAAAGTGCCCATTCGATTGATATTATAGAAATCTACTAAAGTTATAATTTAAAATCTAAATGATTAGAAAAAGATTATCACAATTACCAGGATAGCAATTCAAAGTTTTGGCGGTAAAACACGAATATTATTATTTAATTATTTACGCATGTGTTAACAAAAAAAAAAAAAAAAAAAAAAAGAAATAAATCAAGATTTTAGATCTAGATCTAGATCTCCAGATCATTAACGTAATTAAATTCTATGTCCGATATTTAAAAACGAAAAACTGACAGGCCGCTTTTTGTTTGTTTGTAGAAGTTTGCATAGGTCCAGTATTTATTACAAATTTGTAAAAGAAAATCAACTAACATTTTAAAGATTTAAGTACTCTAGTAATAATAGATCTGTATATAGCATCTGGTAGCTGATTGACACTAAGAATTAGTAGAGTCTATATCTATTTAGCGCAAAATAGAGTCTATATTCTAATAATAATTAGCCGCTAGCTAGATCAAGGCATTTCAAAATGTAGTTATTTAACTTACTTTTAAAAATAGGCTCATCAAGAATGTTATTGATCAAAAACAATTGGAAAGTAATTATATAGATCTAGATCTATGTAGATCTAGATATTGATAAAGACAATTAATTTAGACCTAGAATCTAGGTCTAGATCTAGATCTAGATATATTAGAAAAAATACACAATAAGTATAGGTCTAGTATAAGTCCGCTTTTTGTCTAGATTTCTAAATCTTTTATAAGAAGGCCCACTTAATGTTTTCATTTTTAGAAAAATCTAGTCTATACTATTTTATTGTGTATCAACATATTGTCTAGTATTTATTCGATTAGGTAAAGGTTTTAGATCTAGATCTAGATCTATCCGAAGATGTATTCTAATATCAGGATAAAAATGTATTGAACAATTTAGATTTCATTCGTCACCATTTTTAGTGTGTGACGTCACAGTTTCTTGCCCTGGAATATTATTGTGCGAATTTCCCGGCATGCCCCGATAACCCCACCCAGCGTCAGATTTGTGTGTGCTAGCACTGTGTCTAATGTCGGCACCAACACCGAATCCGACTTCATGTTTTGTCGTGTGAATTTATCGAAAGGGCAGCCTTTCTGCGCCCTATAGCCCTTACTAGGGGCTGGAGTCGGCAGAAAGATTTGCTTATTATTCGTTTTGATGTTGGATATATCGTTTGTGGTTGAATTTTTGCTTCAAACTGGCAAAATTAGCGACGGTTGTTGACAGCATGGGGTGCTTTCGACAGACCAGAGACGATGAAGATGACAAACTAAGAAAAGAAGCCAACAAGAAAATTGAAAAACAACTAGCTAAAGATAAATTGACATACAGGGGAACTCATAGGTTGTTATTGTTAGGTAAGTATCAACATTTCCCTTTAAAATATGTATGTCATAGCCAAGTCTTAACCAGCCGTGCCATGTATCAGTATGAGTATGAGACTCGTTTCTGTTTCCATTTCCTAATGAGCTTCCGTTCTGATATCTTTTCTGAAGGTGCCGGAGAATCAGGGAAATCTACAATTGTAAAACAGATGCGAATTTTGCATGTCGATGGATTTGGTCCCGAGTAAGTTGTTGAATTTATTTATTGATTTCACTCGGGACGTTTTGTTGCTAATATCACCAAACACTGCAAAGTATTGACAGTATTATGTATGCGTGAATGATTCCAACTGGAGACCGAAAGGGGGAGTGGCTTCGGTTGTGCTCGGTTTGAAATTGCTACGCCTCTTAAATATTTCGATTAAGCATAGATTGTTTTAGTATTATCTCTTATATTTCTTTTACAGAGAAAGAAAACAAAAAATAGAAGACATTAAACGAAATGTGAGAGATGCCATTTTGGTAAGTGTAAATTTTTAGTGACCTTTTCCCCCTCGGGAGCAGTCCATTATTTCAAAATGGCGGTTGGCATAGTTTTGCGATACAAGAATTTAGATCTAAGTAATGAATCGTATTAGATCTACTTAGTCTATGTAGTTTTATTTAATCAGAACACTTGTTATATCTTTCTTCAGTCATGTACATTTAAAATATCGAAATTGATATAAAAGTATTAGCATTTGTTAATATAATCAGCCTCATATAAATACTCACCCAAGCTAGGCTACTCACTTCAAATGATTGACTTGATCACTTTTATTTCCCTCCCACCCCACTAGATATTACTAGTCCAAATAGTCTAGATCTAGAATCTAGATAAGATCAAGAAATCTAGGTTTTTAGACTAGATCTTAAGATCTTCTATGACTTTTGTTTATCCCCGTGCTTATTAAGTATAAATTATTAAAAATAGGCCTAAATATTACTAAATAAATAATGATAATTTTCAAACTACTATCTAGACTCTACTATAGTCTATAGCTAGAAAGATCAAGATATCTTCTAGATCCAGGTTTTCTGATATATTTACATCAAGGCTTAATTTTTTTTTTCTTGGAAAAAAAATGCATTTTAACCACTTTTTACAAAATGAATTGCAATGAAGATTGACTACAACACAATTAGCTTTTTTTTTTACATATCAAGTAATTATAAAATTAAAAATGTAGACTCTATTTTTCCTGATTTTAAAGATTTTTACACTGAAGTCTCATTAACTTTGCAATTTATTTATTTTTAAGTAAAAAAAAAACAGTTTTATTGGTCATGGGTTAAAATTACACTACCAGTGAAAATACTGGAGGGATTATATCAATAATGTTTTTAAAAAGTTATATAAATTTTCCATCAGTTGCATGTTGCAACTAGTTAATAGTTGCAACTAGTTAATAGTTATTAAAAACCTAACACGCCTTTGTCTGAAACTGATATGTAGAATATTAGTCTCCAGTCTTTATTGTAAGTAGACTTTTCTACATTACATTTACTGCAACGAAAACTTGGGGATTAGTAAAATACACATTCATATTGCTAGAATTGTCAATATTACTTCAGTTAAAACACACTAATTTCAAGTCTGTATCAGCAATAATCTGTTTAAAGCTTAAAAACAGCCTCAACATAATGAAATACTTGTACATATTTGTTCAAATTTTAGGGGGATAAAAATTTTATTTAAAATAATACAGAAGATGGGTGTATTTTAAAGCTTAACCTTCATGCTAAAAAATCTTCCCCCTCAATTATCTTTCTATCATTCTAATGGTCATTCCACATACAATGTTCTTTAACAATTAACTGTGTATTATGACTTAAGAATAAATATTAATAAATATACATTAAAATAAATAAAACTTTATGGAGGCCCATAAATAAAAGGTAAAGAAATTTTTTAAAAATTACAATTAGATCAATGTTATGTACAACCAAGAAGGGCATTACTGTAGCTCTGCTAGAGGTTCTCTTAACCAGATTTATTCTAAAACCAGAAGTTGCCAGAAAATGTGATTTAAGATTTATTTAGGTTTATATCTATTTTTTTATTATCTTGTTTTGTTAAAGTTAGATAATACTTTTTTATTGCTAAAATATATTTTTTTATATGCATAGTATATAGTTTGTGAAATATGAAGCTTCAGTGACCAGGGAGTTGTAATTATTATTTAAAATCCAATTTAATAATAGTCTTTTTTTTGTGTTAAATGTAGATTTAACTGTGATTTATAATTATATCATCAGACAATAACAGGTGCAATGCCCTCATTGAACCCTCCTGTACAATTGGAGCATCCTCAGAATAAAGCAAAAGTGGATTACATTCAGGATAAAGCCAGTGGTCCTGAATATGATTACCCAACGGTAAATTTCCTAATCTCCTTTAGCATCATAAGCATATATTTTTGTGTCATTATAGATTTAATACTAGTAAAAATACATGCATCTAGCTTTTTAAATCTCCAGTGCTCAAGATATTTTTAGAAGGATCTGATAAAAATGACAAATTAGTCAACCGTTGAGTTTGGTCTGACTAGATAACCATTTAGAGATGACCATAATTTTACATCACTTTAAATGAGAAAAATAAATATCAAAACAACTCTTTCATTTTGAACATTTATTTTTCTGATTCAAAAATTAGTTTGTATAATAGGGGTAGTAAATAGAAATGAAACATAAACATTGAAAACATTTAGCACTGAATTATCTGTATCGGCGATAGCATTCTTTAGTAAAAACTAAAATGTTTAGCTAAAAGCTATATTTAGATTTTTTTTTGTTTGTTTAGCAAGTTCATATTTTCAGTAATAATTTGATTTGATATCTTCTACTCTGTATCTCATTTTGCTCTGTTTTGTTGCGGTTGTTTGGTTTGTCTGAAATTTGATTTTTCCACCAAAAATATTCTTTAAATATAAGTATTCCTTTTCATACAATGCATATTTATATTGGACCAAGTTTTAAATTTCTTGATAAGTAATTGTTTTAATTATAATTTAAAGATGTGAAAATTGAATTAAGTTTTTACTAACTAGCTAATTTAACAAGTGATAAGTGAAGTGCTATTGAAGATATTTGTACACCAATTGCTCTTTATAAACATTAAAGTTTGCATAAAATGCTGAAAATGTTGTAAACATTGAAATAAGAAATAATTATATAATTGTAATATTAGTAGATAAGAGCAACTTGTAACAAAAAATTATTGTTGTCCTTGTGGGGTATTGCTGTTCATTTGTACACTGAATGATTTACTGCAGTTCAGATCTTTTATGTTATTTTACAAACGCTATGAATATTATTTTTATCTCTTCTCATTGTCCTTTTTTTTTAAATTTTTTTTTAATGCACACATTGTCATATGTGGTGCAGGGGGATGATTGGTTGGTTATATTTTTATGACTATTTACAAATAAAATGACACAGTTCAAAGTAGATTTGGGGGGGGGGGGGGTCTCTTAGATTACTAGTTAGCCTACATTAAAAAAATGTAAGCTGACATAATCATTTTTCAGATGCAGCCCAGATACTAGCTATATAAAACTATAGGCTTACTATACAAATACTGTGTTTAATGTCATAAGACTAGCTTTAAGTATTTATTTATGTCTTAGCAAAGTAGCATAAGTGTGTATGTTCTTCCTTTTGGCTTCAAATTCCTCTTTTTTTGGTATGACTGTTCCTATTTTTGGTCACTAGGGGTAGGCATGTCTGCTACACTTTACTTCCACTATCTCTTAGTTCTAAGGATATCTATGTTCAAATGCTTTCTAACACTCAACTAACCACCTCGTAAAACGCAAGACCTATCAGCACAGCTATCTTTGACCAAATGCACTCACTCTCACTCTTGCTAACACCTGACACGGTCGGCTGACTGTCAAATGTTACAGTTCAGTTTGCATCTCACTTCTCATCGGATCCTACCTATTCTAGCTAATTTACTTAACTCGTTTGCTTGACCTCTGGCTGTTGAACATTTTCTTCTTTCTGCTTGACCTATGGCTAGTGTACATTTTCTCCTTTCTGCTTGACCTATTTCTGTAACTATCCTAACTTGTGTCATCACATAATGAAGAAAATACCTTATTTTGGGTTTAACACAAGTATTATAAATAATTTCAAATGTCTACATCGAGGCATTGTTTTTATATATGCAGATATTCTATGAATATACTGAAATATTATGGAAGGATAAAGGAGTACAACAAGCTTTTGAAAGATCCAATGAATACCAACTGATTGATTGTGCACAGTAGTAAGTATTATATTATTACATTCTTTTGCTATACTTTTCTTTCACTTGTCAGTCACTACTGTGTAAACATATGTAGTTACAATTACTCTACACTAAAAATGTTTGCTTTACACCTCTATCCAGCAGTCCTTTGCCTCTTGTTCCTGAAACAATTTTAGAGACAATTACGCTACCAATATTATCTGCTAGTGACAGTACTGTTTTTTACTATGGTTAAAATATAACGAGATTCTGTAACAACCAGGTTGATGTGAATTTCTGAGTTTAGAAATTCATATCTTACAATTGAGGTTAAATATTTTGCTTTTTAATTGTTTCTAATTCTAGACACCCCTGTTAAACATAAACATAAAAGAACTATCATACAAGATTTTAATTTCTATCTTGCTTATATACACATAATTTACATCGCCTTCACAGAACCCGATTGTTTTAACTCCACTTTTTTTTTCCTAAATTTATACACCCTTCTGTTTTAAGTGTACTAAGGTATCATATAAAATTTGTTGCTTACTGTTTTTTCACAATAACTCAATTTCTCTAAATGCTTAGTTTAGAAATGTTAAGGAAAACAATTTTAAAATACAGCTAGTACAATATTTACTAGCATTGAATCAACTGTTAATAATCTATTATAATAAACCTCCAGGTGACGTACTTTGTTGGGGAACCTGAACATAAAATTTTTAAATTCTGTTTAGGGAGGCTTAAATAATAATAGTTAACATCCTAAATTTTGTATTTGATTGCACTAAATGTTTATCAATTTTGACTTAACTGCTAATGTTACAATAAATTTACTTTAATACTCCTGTCCTGCATCTCTCTGTGGCACCAACCAATTATTACTTGGCCTTTCTTGTCACCTTGCAGTGGTAGTTTGCTATGTAGCTATGTTCTAAATCCACTAAAGTACCATGGTAAAAATAAGTGTATAGTCATAGCTCTTATTACATAATTCCTTTCCTCCAATTACTTATATTTATATATATTTATATATATATATATATATATATATATATATATATATATAGTTACCCTTTCTCACCTGGTGGGGCAGACATTATAGAGTTTTTTCCTGTATCTGTTACCTCTGCATAAGGAGGGGTAGTGTGGCCAGCTCTATTCACAGATGCCAATACTTACCCTAAAGCCTAAAGTGGGTCAGGTACCCATCTGAAGTCATGCAGTCCCATACATGTATGGACAAATATACATAAATGTATATGGTTGCTCTCTGCATTAAATCAAAGTTGTAATAAATAACTATAAATAAGTGTGCATTCAAATCATGTTTGTTGGCCATACTTGAAACCTATATATATGTTATAAATGTATTGTGTGTTAACAGTGGTAAACCTGTTTATTTTCGTCTGGTATGCAGAACCATGCAATTAATATATTTCTCAGCTCTAACCATGTTAGGCAATTTCTTTTTCCAGAAGTTATGACAGGATTGAACTGACAATTTCATATTATTTTTGTAATTTGTGTGAATCAAATATTATAAAAATAGTCCTTCACATAGCTAGTATTCAGACTGGATTAGTACTTGAAGGATCTTGACATTGGTTCAAGGCAGTGGTTATGATAAGATGACAGATTTCAGAACACACTGCCGGGCTCTCATCCTAGGCTAGTTACTTTATGGTAATCATGATGACCTGGTTTTACTAACTGGGTGTGTTAATGATGCTTGTACAATCTAGTCATAGTGTAGTTGTTCTTTTTTAATCTTGTCAATTTTTAAAGAAACCTGTATGGCTGACTTATTTAGGCTTTTCAGTAATTGGTAAAGTTTTAAGAATGGACATGCTTTTTTTCGTTAATCACAACATTACAGTGCTGTTGTAATGTCTGTATTCTTAGCTAAATTTAATTCTATTTTTAAATTACCTATAGTGGTATGAGAAACTTATTTAATGTGAGCAATTATTATCACTATTACAACCAAAATCAATAGCATTGCACTGACATGTGTTCCTTGTAGTTGAATAACATGCTCTCAGATTGTTAATTATACACAGTGCTTTTTATCATGTAATTCAGTTCTTGTAGCACTTATTCTTAGATTTGTTTATCCAGAAGTTAACCAGTAGACACAATTTTTCATTGACTTTGACTGAACATTGTTGCAATTTTTAAATCATATAGGTTTTCCTCAAGTTTATTCTCTCTTGCACTGTGCATGACATGACATTGTTAGACCTGCTTGTTTACTGTTGCATTAGGAAGAAACCATGAGCGGTATATTAAAATACACATACTGCTTCACTTGGCACTTTGTGGAGTCATCAGGGGTCGTCCATAAATTATGTCAAGGTCTGGGTGTGGGGTGCAGACTTAATGACTTTGCTATGGGGAGGGGGTAAATTTATTTTTCAATTGCTCTTTTGCAAGGTGGGGTGCTGTCATTTTTTTAGGAAAGAAGTAAAAAGGTTAAGTGCTTAAATTCAGTATGGACAGTCTGTAACATTAGGTTACTACATCCCAAGTCGGATATACAAATTTGGGCTTAAAGAACCCTGGTTCTTATAAACTATTTTAATTAAGATTGTAATTTACATAAACTTCTGCTAAATATAAACCGTGTTTACAGAGCACAGTTGAATTTCGTGTTTGTTAATTTTTTCTCACTTCTTGTTTTCAGTTAATCAATTAGGCTTATAGAAATCAAGGAGCTAAATAGTATTATAAATCAATCACATTCTAAAATGTTTCTAAATATACCATAACCTATTGTCGACCTTAGTTAATCTGACGCCAGCTTGTAGGGTGTTTGATATATGCATCACTATATCGTTAGTTGTTAGTTCATAATCTTACAAAGTATAAAAGTTCGCACCGTCTACAAAATTATCCTTTGTTGTTTAAAAAAAATACAAATCGCAAGTAGCCCAGCTCATTATTTATTAACTATTTCTCTGTCCCAAAAATGTCAAGAACATGAAGTATGACTTCTCACTTTAAACCATTGGCTTTAAGGAAACAATGCAACTGACCAGCACAAGGCTATGTTCGCTATGGTAAAAACAACCAACAATTTGTGCCAACGCGTGTGTGCCGCAAAGCTATAGTGCCAAGGCTAAACTAGGCACTGGTTGGATTCATTACTTTTTGTCTCTTGGCTTTCTAAAAATAGACTGCATAGCAAACCGAAGGCGTATTTTTAGCCCAGCTTGTCAAATGGAGCTGTAAAGCAGGCCAAAAATAAAAAGAACAGACTAGAGCCTAAGGGGGTTCTAGTTGTGTCTGGTATTAATCTTCTGTACCGCCTATCTGTCCGACCACTTGTATGGGGTTTTTTCAAAACTTCACAAGTGTTAGTGGGGGCGGGAGAAATTTACTGTTGTAACAGATTTTTTTTACCTGTATGTGTATAACACAGTCTTTTAACACACGTTGTCTCTTGTAGTAAATGTTAAGCTTCTTATTTTAGTTTAAGGGGCTTTCTTTTCATTGTTATTATAGACAAAAATATGATTTGTTGTTAGTTTGCCTGCCATGTAATTCTGTTTTATTTATTTCTAATGTTTAATAAAGACTAGTAATAGGCTACACATGCACCACGTCACTGTTTACTTTGTTGAATTTCTGTGTAGCTCCATAGGTATATAATCATAAATTACGGCGTTTTACAAGTAATTAATTTACTTAGCGGAAGCTTTGTTCAGTTATACATAGATCTATTATCTTAGAAAATAAAAGCACGTAGCTCGCAGTTTTTTTTTAACACACGCCATGTGATCAAACTTTATTTTAGAAATCGGGCCTCATTACCTCTCCCCGTCCAACGGCTGTAGATGTGCTAAAAATTCGATTTAAATTAAAAATACATTTAATGGTAGCTTATAGTTTAGAAATAGTTTAGAAACAGCTTGGACCCCGTGCTACAGAAAAGCTATAGCTCAGTGACCGAGATATTTTTAAATGAGTCAGATTTTTTTTTTTTTTGTATAATAACGCTTTGAAGTAATGCTGCACACTCTACAGCTGTATACTCTATCCAAATAATAAATGTCATGCGTATTCGTTAGCCCTTCCAGAGATTATAACTTACACGATCTGGTGTTAAAATATACTATAGGGGGTAAGGAATGCTTACTTTTTATACCCAATTTTACCTAAGTTGAATGTTGCAAAACACAGCCCCCTATTTAAGAAACAGTGAAAACAATATTTTTAAATAAAAGGAAAGAATAGACAGTAATGAAAAAAAGGGCCAAGATCAATAGTTAACTTTTTATTGATTGCCACTATTGTAGAACAGACACAATAGTAAATATGCTCTAACTAATGAGTGTTTGATTGCCTATTTTTTAATTTAAGTTTTGTTTTAGTGAATAGCAAATCTATTATAGGACATAAATGCATAGTTTATAGTATCGACAGTAAAAAAATGCAACTGTTAAACTATGTAGTTTAAGATATAATGGGGTTCTGTTTAAAGCCAACGTTTGCTCTCAGCACAGCCTGTTAATCTAGTCTTGACTCAGCAGGGACTCGATGTTCGTGCTCTTATTTATTTGACAACAGTAAATAAAAATAATAGTTAAGGCTCAGCGTACTATACTGAATGGTTATGATACACTTCTTTTCATATCACTTTACCACCGGTTATGATCAGTAAGATTTGCAGAGGAGTCTTAACATGTCCCTAAACTGGGCCTAAACGTAATGGAATTAAGTCAAGGCTCAAGATGTGCATTTCTCGGGTGATATGTCAAATGTCTTTTGTAGAATTTTCAGGCATATTTTATTTTAAAAATAAACACTCGGTCTATCTAATTTAGTGGCAATTGTCTGGACTCATCACTGGATATTTTGAATAGTTTCCTTTGATATCATTCGTCATAACGTGTTTATTCTTTTTTATTCGCTTCTTTGATTCGCATCGCTACTAACCTGCTTCCCGCCTGCTGTGATAGGGTTTTCTCTAGTCCCATCACAAGCACAACATACCGTAACAGCCACTCTACAAACAAAAGCTCGTATCAAAC